TCTGCAAGTTTCAGGTTTAGTGAAAGAAAGGTGGAAAACAACTGGAGACATTAAACATCAACCTCCAGCCTCCACATGCACACTCACACCTGTAAGCGTGCGTGCACACGAGCGCACACACACACACACACACACCACACCACACCACACCACACCACACCACACCACACAAGAAAGATGGGGATACCTAAGAGAAGCCACGTTCAGCATAAGAGGGTTTCCTGCTGATGCTCAAAGCTCCCGTTTACATCAGGAATGGGACTCTGCTGGGGTTCACAACACTGAGCTGCACACCCTCTCCATTCCATTCGGTCCAGGCCTCTCCCCTATCTCAGGGATCAGCACTTTTTATTTTGCAGTGCTGGGACCTGAACCAGGGCCTTGCTCATGGCTAAGAATGTGCTCTGCTACTGAGTACATCCCCAGCCCAGGGTCTGCATCTTTTTTTTTTAAGGAAGAAAGGGTTTATTTTGGCACAAAGTTTGAGAAGATAAAGTCCATCACAGGAAGGCACAGTGGCAGAAGCATGAGGAGGCTGGTCACATTGCATTAGGAAGCAGAGAGAGATGAATGCTGGTGCCCAGCTCCTCTTTCTCATTTCCTTTTTTTTTTTTTTTTTTTTTTTTTTTTTGTTTTTTTTTAACAGGGGTTTATATAATACCCAGTTTTGTTCTGTTTGGATTTTATTTTGTTTTTGTTTTTTGAGACAGGATCTTCCTGCAGCTCCAGCTGTCCTGGAACTCACTATATATATAGACCAGGCTGGCTTTGAACTCACTCATAGAAATCTGCCTGCCCCTGCCTCCCAAGTGCTGGGATTAAAGGCCTGTGCCACCATGCCCAGCTCTTTTTCTTTTTTTTTTTAATGGGGCTTTTTTGCTACTCTAACGTCCCCCCTTCTAAAGAGGTAACCCTAAAATCTTTAGGGATTAGATAAGAGCTCCCAAATACTTTTGAAACATCTTTGGCCCTTGGAACAGAGTATGTTGCTGAGAGGCCCAAGGACATTTTGACTTTTAGCCAAGAAACTGGCTACTTTACTTTGGGGTCTTTTTACCCTAACTGCCTAGCCAGTTCCTACTTCCTATTCTTATCATACCAATCTTCCAATAGGGAATCAGGACACAGAGGGTCTGCATCTTTTACATTTATATTTATTAGTGTGTGTGTGTGTGTGTGTGTGTGTGTGTGTGTGTATGTGTGTGTATGTCTGATGTGTGATGTACTTTGTGCACATATGTGTTGTGGCTTGCCTGTGGAGGTTAGAGGACAACTGTGTGGAGTCCTTTCTCTCCTTCTACCTTGACATGGGCTCCAGGGATTGAACTCAGGTCATCAGGCTTACATGGCAAGTCTCTTTACCTACTGTGCTGGATAGCTTTAGTGTCAGCTTGACACACCTGAGTTGAGGGAGCCTCAATTGGAGAATTTCCCTCATTGGACTGGCCTGTGGCCATGTCCATGGGGCACCTTCTTGATTGTTGAGTGATGTGGGAGGGCCCAGACCACTGTGGGTAGTGCTACCCCTGGGCAGGCGGGCCTGTGTTGCATAAGAAAGCAGGCCGAGCAGGGGCCAGGGAAGAAAGCCAGTAAGCAGCATTCCTCCATGGCCTGTGCTCCAGCTCCTACCTCCAGGTTCCTGCCCTGAGTTCCTACCTTGGGCTTCTGGATGAACTGTGACCCAGGAGATGTAAGATAAAATAAACCCTTTCCTCCCCAAGTTGGTATTGGTCAGAGTGTTTTGTCACAGCAATGGAGAGATAAACTAGGACACCTACTGAGCAATCTCACCAGCCCACGATTCATGGTCTTTCTGTTTTTTTAAACATACATGTCATTTTATTTTTTTTGTATATATTTTTATTGAATTTTTGTGTGTTTCATATAGTACATCTTAATCATACTTAGGCCCCCTTCCCTTTTTGCGCCCCCACAACACCGCACCCACTGGATTTCATGCATTCTATCATATATGTTAAGGCATATTGAGTCAAGTTTGTGTACCCAGATGTCCCTTGGCGTGAGTTCATCCACTGAAGCCTATTCATTCTATCTAGTTTCATTCCCTTAAGACCAACTTGGGGGCTAAAAAGATGGCTCAGCAGTTAAGAACACAGGTTGTTCTTGCAGAAGAACTGGGTTCGAATCCCAGGACCCACATGGCAGCTAACAACTGTCCATAACTCCAGTTCTAGAGGATCCAACAGCGTCTTCTGTCCTTTGTGGACATTGCACGACACGGGTGCACTTACCTACATGCAGACAATACACGCATACACATAAAATAAAAATAATAAATATTTTTTTTAAAAAAAAGAGGAGCTGGGCGTGGTGGCACATACCTGTAGTCCCCCAGCACTTGGGAGGCAAAGACAGGCAGATATCTATGAGTTCAAGGCCAGCCTGGTCTGCATAGTGAGTTCCGAAACCACATAGTGAGACCCTGTCTCAAAAAACCAACAAAAATAAATAAAATAAATGCAATTCGTTTATTTTATGAGTGTTTTGCCTGCATGTATGTGCACTACATGAGGAGGAGGAGGAGGAGGAGGAGGAGAAGGAGGAGGAGATGATCAACTCTCCCACACCCAGCACTGATCAGCTACCAGTAGTTTCTCAGCTAACATTGGGGCCTATTGCCCACTTCTCCAGTTCTTTGCTGGGTTTTTGTCTGAGTTTGCATGGGTCTTGTCCATGCTGACACCATTGTTGTAAGTTCGTACAAGCAAGTTCCCATAGGCCTGAAACCCTCTGTTTCCTATGGTCAAACACCAACCCTGGCTCTAACAATCTTTCTGCCCCCTCTTCCACAATGGTCCCTGACCATGGGTGGGTGAGGTTTCATATAGGAGTCCTAGCCAAGGACACACACTCTGCAGTCTCTTATTCTCTACACTTTGGCCATTTGTGGCCTTCTGTGTTCATGGCCCTCTGTGGCATGAGGAAGCTTCTTTGGTGAGAGTTGAAGGATGCATTAGTGTTCTCTCTACCCCTGTTCCACTATGTTTCATGAGCCTTAGGTTGCATTGGAGATGTGTGGCATCTACCTGGGCATCTGGGCATCTACCTGTAACCACATCTAGCCTTGAACTTGCTAGACCAGGCTGGCCTCAATCTATAGACATCTGCCTGCCTCTGCCTCCCAGGTGATGGAATTAAAGGTATGCGCCACTGCGTCCAGCGATAGAATCCTCAACGCTACCACCACCCATCCTCACCCGTTCTTATCTCCTTGTGCCTCCATTTACCTTCTTCTCTCAGTCTCTCCTGCAGACCCCAGAAGAGCCTGTCAACTGTCTCTTTGTCTGTTTCCTCACAGGGAAGATCCTGGTGCACTGTGCTGTGGGAGTGAGCAGATCTGCCACCCTGGTGCTGGCCTACCTCATGCTGTACCATCACTTCACCCTTGTGGAGGCCATCAAGAAAGTCAAAGATCACCGAGGCATCATCCCCAACCGGGGCTTCTTGAGGCAGCTCCTGGCCCTGGACCGTAGGCTGCGGCAGGGTCTAGAGGCATGAGGGGAGGGGATGTCAGGCCAGGCCCATGGGTGGGTTCCTGGCTCCCACCTGGACAGAGAAGACCCAGGTGGCAGGTAGTGGAAAGACCAGACAACCCATCCTCCTGTGACGGCAGGAGAGTGAAGGGCCCCAAGGCCACTGTGGCTCCTTGTGGGAGGGGATGAGGAGCCAGGCTGGGCAGTGTGGTAGGCATTGGGGTCTTGTGGTATGCATTGATCAGGGAAGGAAGCAGCTGGACTGAAGGTGCAAGATGGCACTCAGTTCCAGCAAGGTGTGCCCAGTGACTCAAAACCCTTCCCCTCTTTGTGCTCTAGTGTTCCCCTCTCACTTCCCAAAATAAAAGGGCCATTGCTGTCCTGTACCTGAGCAGGGAGTCTGGGATGCAGCAGGCATCGATGTGGATGGAGGTGTAGAGGTTGCAGAAAATAGTGCAGAGACAGATGAGGATGGGAGGAAGCCACAAAACCAGAGGGAGAAACCCACAAACTTGTTACTCTACAAACAGGAAGAGGAGGCCTGTGAGCACGGGGCCCAGGGGAGCAGGTGCATGATTGGGCGTTGTTAAATGGTCACTTGCTCACTGGAACCAGGTGTCTAGAGTGAAAATAAACAGGTGGTAAAGAAGGCATCTTGACATCACTGACAGTTGGACTCCTTGTCTCTGGGAACCCAAGCGTAGTTAGCTGATCCCCTCACTAAACAGCTGACTCCAGCACCCCACCAATTCTTCCATAGCCCTGGGAAACCTGGAACTGTCATTTGCAGGTCAGCCACAAAGGGGCAGCAAAGGACCAAAAACTTCAGGTCCGCAACCATTTGGCAGTGCTGCCCAGAAGAACCATCTCCCAAGCTTACAGCGGGTTTCTCTGCTCCTGTGTCCCCATTTTAATGAGACAACAGAATATTTATCTTAAATCAATGTCAGCCCTGAGTCTCCTACATTCAGATGTTTGTGTTTTACCTGGTGCCAACATATATTGTGGGGGAAGAGCAAGGTGATGCCATCGCTTTCTCTTCTGATCCTTTCGGTTTCCCTCAGAGGAATGTAACTCTATCTCCCTAGTGAGCTTAGCAAAGAATTAGATTGGACAAATAGAACAGCATGTTATCCCAACGACTGACTGCCACAGCATCCCTTACAAAAGGTGTGTTCCCTTTTGTTCCAACAGAGTATCTGTCTGTCCGATAGGAGAGGAGGTGGAGTGGAAGTGGGAAGTACAGGGGCAAAACAAGGGGTCAGTGAGATAGCTTAGTGGGTAAAGACACTGCCTGCCAAGCCTGGTGATCTGAGTTTAATTCCGGAAACCAGCGTGGTTGAAGGTCTGACCTTAAAGTCATTTATATCCAAAAGTGTTTATCCCACTCCAGAGTACAGAATTCTAAAGTTGGAAGGTGCCTTCATAGATTGTCCATTTTTACTCTGTAAGAGACATAAATCCATCAGCTTTCCAGCGTCATTGATGACAGTCATTTGTTTGAACGTCTCTGGTGTCTGGGACCCACCACATAATCTCCACTGCACTTCACCAGCTCTAAGTCCTGGACAGTTTATGTTATAGTGGAAGTAAGATGAGACTGAGAGATCCGGCAACAGTGGGTCCCTGGCCTGGCCACATCACACACTAGTTAGGGGTCTAGGCAAGTCACGCTCCTGCTTCCCGTTTATTCACAGTCAGTAGTACTCTGGCCACTTGCACAGGGTTACTGTGGTCATTTAATTAAATAAGAGTTACAGCATGTGCGAGGCCCTGTGCACGCCTGCATCCTTTGTTCTGACTCCGTCTCTTGGGACAGCACTTCTCACAGTGAATGTGTTTCATATGGTTCTCTGCTGTCTGAGCACTTTCAGCCTAAGAGCTGTCAGTTCCCAATCGTCTGTGTGTCACGTTTTCACTTCCCCCACCGGCCTTGCCAATACTGGCATCTCTTCTTACTTGTAGGAATCAGAATTCTACATCTCAAAATTTATAGATCCTGGTGTTTCAGGAGGACCTGTAAGCTAGGAGGCCAAGCAAGCTGGGGTCTCGAAATCTGATCACTATTGAGGACAAATTTATCTAAGGGACAGAGAGAAGCCTTTATGAGCCATGTTCATTCTAATTAAAAGATGGGTTGATTCCCTGTTAAAGCCATGAGCCAAACCCAGGTGTGGTTCAGGGCCAGTCTGGTTACATAGAGACATTGTCACAATCAATCAGTAAAGAAATTCATGGATCAAAAGATGTAAATATAATTTAAAATAACTGAGTGGATGGGGGTACAGCTCAGCACTTGTCTAAACTTTTTGCAAGAGGCCCTGGATTCAGTCCCCAGTACCACAAATAATAGTAACTGAAAAATAACTCAAGCTCTTAGATTGATTGTAAACAATGATCAAACCAGTACAGCATACAATAGACTTGTCTAGAATGTGTGTTACTAGCACAGTGCCTCAGCAACCACAACCATATTTGTTCAGTCCTACTGATTGTTTTTACAGTGAATAGCTTGAGAATTTGACTCTAACTTGTAAGAAAGCAGACCTGCTAAAGTATATTTAAATAAAGAAAAGGCCTGCTGTTTATCCTCCAGAACAGATTATCATTTTTAACATTTTATTTATTATTTGTATTTTATGTGTATGAGTGTTTCACCCGCACACATGTAAGTGAACCCATATCATCAGTGTCTGCAGAGGCCAGAAAAGAATGTTGGATCCCCTGAAACTGGAGTTAAGGATGGTTGCTCGCCGCCATGTGGGTGCTGGGAACTGAACCAAGGTCCTCTGCAAGATCAGCCAGTGCTCTTAACTGCTGAGCAATCTCTCCGGCCCCAGAACAGATTATATATTTTTATTAGTTAATGTCCTAGTTTCATTTAAGTTACTATGATAAAATATCCTGACAAAGTGCGGCTTGGGGAAGAAAGTGTTTATTTGATTTACAACTCCAGGTTTTAGTCCACTATCATGGGGAAGCCAAAGCAGGAATTTAAAGCAGTACATCCACAGCCAAGAGCAGAGAGAGACCGAATTCACAGGTCCTTGCTTGTCTGCTTTGAGTACTCAGCTTTCTATATCCACAGGGTTCAGGGGCCAGCCTAGGGAATAGGGCCTCCCACGATGGAGTAGATCTACAACAGTTCAGAATCAAGACAACCTCTCACAGACATGCCCACAGGCTAACCCGAGCTGAGTAATTCCTCATGAAGACTCCCTCACAAGTGTTCTAGGTTGTGTCAAGTTCACAGTTAAAATGAACCAATGCAGTTAATAGAGCCATAGTATCACTGTGCCCGGATAGCTCTGTCTGCAGGTACTCAGCCTTGTGAAGTAAGTGTGTCTGCCTAGTATCAGGGAAACAGGCGAACTCATTTGCCCAAGGTCACACGAACAAAAATTGGAAGATATAGAATTTAAATCTGAATTCTCCAGCAGTAGCATCTGTGTTTAGTCATCATACCGCCGTGCATGTCATCCAGCTGCACCGTGTGTGTGTGTGTGTGTGTGTGTGTGTGTGTGTGTGTGTGTAGTATAAGGAGGAACTGCTACAGAGCAGTTCCTCCAGTGTGTAAGAACCAGCAGCCACTCCTACTGACTTTAGAGATAGCTGTTAGGTGAGGATCTCCCTGACTTTCTACAGATTACAACTTTTCTCAAGGGACCTGTGTGGTTCAAAGGGGCCCAGAGCCTAGACAACCTATCACACAAGCAGAATCAGTTCCCTCCTCCAAGTCAGCTTTGCGTGATACTGTCACAGATGGTTTGGCTCCTGCCTACAAAAACAGGTTCAATGTCCAGCTTCCTCCATTACATTCCTGGGCAGTTGACCATTTGGACCCAAGAAAAGCATCAGAAAACTTTGTTAGCTGCAGACTGTACCTCCAGCTGACTGAGCCACAGCCGTCTGTAGCTGATTTCCAAGTCAGTCTTGTCACTTGTTTGCCAGCCTTCAGCTCTGCAGTGTTGACTCAAGCCCTTGAAGCTGGTCTAGGAGACCTTGCTGTCTCTGGGGAAAGGGAGGAATGTTTGCCTAGTCCTTCACTGCTATAACCAAGCCCAGCTGGGAGGTTCCTCCCGGGAGCACAGCTCAGAGAAAACTGCTGCTTCTGAGCCCCGTGACGCAGGTGCAGCTGGAATGAGACAGGTAGATAGCTCAGAATTACACTGGCTCTAGAGTACTTTGCATCGCTGCAGCCGCGATCCCTTTTAAAAGCAGATCCCTTAAGGAAAAGGAAGCTCGGAGCTGAGAGCACAGCTCAGTGATAGAGTGCTTGCCTTTGGTGTAGTCCTGGGCTCAATCCTCAGCAACACACACAGTTAAAATAAAAGGCTGGACCTCATAGTACAGGCTTAGGATCCCAGCTACTCAGCAGGGAGGCAGGTCGATTGCAGGTTCAAGGCCAGTGTAAGCTACAAAATGATTTTAAGGCCAGTCCAGGAAACTTAGCAAGAACCTGTCTCAAAATGAAGAAGAAGGGGGGGTGGAGAAAGGAGGAGGAGGAGGAGGAGGAGGAGGAGGAAGAGGAAGAGGAAGAGGGGGGAGGGGGAGGAGGAGCACGGGGAGGACCAGAGCACTCTGAGGAAGATTTGAGACCTGTCGCTTATCTTTGAGGGGTCTGTGCACTCAGCATTCCCTCCAGGCAGCTTCAGAAGCAGGCAGTGTTGGGATAGACAGCTGCAGAAACAGGCACAGATAATCTCTGTTCTCAGTAAACTCCAGCTCTGCAGCACACAGGTTCATCCTCAGAGGATGACCACACAGGCACACAGCACAGCAGGTGAATGGGTCCCAGAACCAAGGCAGAGGAAGGGAAGAGGATTGGAGATGGTCTCCCAGGGATGGTGATATTTGTGTGACTTCAGAAGGAGCCTGAGGTAGGATTTAGCTAGGCAAAGAGCAGAAGCAACGTTCAGGCAAGGCAATCTGCAGATAGCAGGTGAGACAGTTAACACCACAGCACAGGTAAGGAAACTGAGGATTGGAGGGGAGGAGGGTAGCATGTGGGCAGGACTGGCCCAGGTCAGCTCTGCAACTTGTAGCATAAGGCTTGTGCTCTGAGCTTCTGAGCTTAAAGCCTGGCTGGGGAGAGACAGAAGAATAAAACACAAAAGGATTGGTGCGGGACTGTCAAAGTGGACATACAGTTAGGAAAACAGAATTAAAGTTTTTAACTCTCTTTGGGGATGGGAAGAGTGGGGGATGGGATGGAAAAAACTTCAGAAAGGAAGCAGAGCTGGGCTGAATCTAACAGTTGAGGATCCTACCTGAGCAAGCTATCTCTCTCCTCCTCCAGTATGAAAGCTGATGAGAGACCGCAGCCAGGAGATACTTGAGACTAGAAGAGCACTTTGCTAATCCCACACCCAGGCACAGTCAACATACCAAAAAGAAAAGATTTTGAGACAGGTTTCAGTGTATAGACCAGGTTGTTCTCAAACTTGATGATCCTCCTGCCTCAGTAGAAGGGGGAGGGGGAGGAGGAGGAGGAGAAAGAGAAATAATATTAAGGGCTGGAGATGTAACTCACTGGTAGAACACTTGCCTAGAGTGCACAGGATTGTAAATCAATCCCCAGTTCCTCAAATTAAATTTCTTTTTTTTAAAAAAAGGAAACGAATACAGGAAGAATGAACCAAGTTATGAGGAAAATAAGCC